CATCACCTCCTCGACCCCGCCCCATCACCTCCTCGATCCCGCCCCATCCTCTCATCGATCCTGCCCCATCCTCTCCTCGATCCCGCCCCATCACCTCCTCGACCCCACCCCATCCCCTCCGCGACCCCGCCCCATCACTTCCTCGATCCCGCCCCATCACCTCCTCGATCCCGCCCCATCCTCTCCTCGACCCCGCCCCATCACCTCCTCGATACTGCCCCATCCTCTCCTCAACCACGCCCCATCACCTCCTCGACCCCGCCCCACAATCTCTTCCCCCACCCCGATTTCTCAACAAATGGACCTTCGTTATATGAACACAAATATGTTTTTTCCAGGCTTAGACTGGAGGTCCATCTGGACACTGACCAGTGGTCATGAGCCCGTTGATGAGTTCGTGGAGCCGTATGTGGCCTCTCTACTTTTCTTCAGCATCAACATGGTGACGGGTATAATCCTGAGGGCCCTTTCGTCGGCCTTCCTCCCCACGTCCCTACGGGGGTTTGTCATGGACTTCATCTCCACCATGGAGGCATGCTCCTACTTCTTTGAGAACAACTTTGTCTTGAAGGTAAGTAGACATTGTGTATTGAGGGTAAGTAGACATTGTGTATTAAAAGTAAGTAGACATTGTGTATTTAAGGTAAGTAGACATTGTGTATTGAAGGTAATTAGACGTTGTGTATTAGGGTAAGTAGACATTGTGTATTAAAGATAAGTAGACATTGTGTATTTAAGGTAAGTAGACATTGTATTTTGAAGGTAACTCATGTCGACATTGGATATTGAAGCCAAGTCAAGTCGACATGGGGTTTTGAAGGTAACTCAAGTAGACATCACGTTATGAAGGCATCTCAGGTCGAAATTGGATGACATTCCATTTTTTTTTTGCAGATGATATCTAAATATAGTTTTATTGTGACGAAAAAATTTGATTACAAGGTCTTTAACGCAGTTCGGCTTAAAATAGCCTAACTGATTAATTATTTACAACGCAATCCAAATATCGATCCAGAATCCTCTGTGATTCCGATGGTGGTGAAGACGCCTCCTTTGTATTTCCAGTACTACGGAAGCCTGTGGTTTGCCATCGCCATCGTCTGCCAGTGTTTCGTGTGTGCCAGAACTTTTGGCGACACCAGCGAGAACCCGGTCAAGGCGCTGCACCAGCTGGTGGCCAAGGAGATCAACGTGCAGACGGCGCTGCTGAAGATCCTGGTTCAGTCCCTCGCTGGCCTGGCGTCCTACCGCCTCGCCCAACTCATCTGGTCACTCGACCTCATCGCTGACCACCATGAGGTGAGTAAAGCGGGATGGGGGGAGGGTGAGGCGTTAATCCAACATCTTCAAACAATGGCTGTCACACCTTGGGAAATATACCAAGATCTTGGGAATTCACTACCCCATTCAGGACCAAAACTCACTTTTTTTTTTTAATTCCCAAGATCCTTTAATTTAAAAAAAAAACTCTTATAAATTTTCATGATCTTGGGAAATCTTGGGAAATGTTTTGCCTAAATCTTGGGAATTTCAAAAAATTGAGTGGCAGTCCTGCTTCAAATATGAAAATAGCTTGTTAAGTGTTATTTGACATTGCTTGACAAAAATTTGAACCAATAATATTAATTTTCTCCTTAAATAAACATTGATACAAATAAAATGCTTAACTTTGGTATACAGCTTTATCGTACCATGTCCCTCTGCGTATTTATTTATAAACATAATGTTGCTATATCACATCGTGCATTCACATATGTCTGTTGATGTCTTACAATTACTCTAAGGCACGCCTGTTTATGTCTTACGTTTGCCCTAAGACATGTCTGTTGAAGTCTTCCATTTGCCCTAAGACCTATCTGTTGATGTCTTCCATTTGCCCTAAGACATGTCTGTTGATGCCTTACGATTGCCCTAAGACATGTCTGTTGATGTCTTCTATTTGCCCTAAGAAATGTCTGTTGATGTCTTCCATTTGCCTAAGACATATCTGTTGATGTCTTCCATTTGCCCTAAGACATGTCTGTTGCTGTCTTCCATTTGCCCTAAGACATGTCTGTTGATGTCTTCCATTTGCCCTAAGACATGTCTGTTGCTGTCTTCCATTTGCCCTAAGACATGTCTGTTGATGCCTATGCATTGTGTGAAACTTCACACAATGCATAGCCTATCAGCCACTGACCATCTACTAACGTGAAACCTCACACAATGCATAGGTCAATCATCCACTGACCATCTACTAACGTGAAACCTCACACAATGCATAGGCCTATCATCCACTGACCATCTACTAACGTGAAACCTCACACAATGCATAGGCCTATCAGCCACTGACCATCTACTAACGTGAAACGTCACACAATGCATAGGCCTATCAGCCACTGACCATCTACTAACGTGAAACTTCACACAATGCATAGGCCTATCAGCCACTGACCATCTACTAACGTGAAACTTCACACAATGCATAGGCCAATCAGCCAGTGACCATCTACTAACGGGAAACTTCACACAATGCATAGGCCAATCAGCCACTGACCATCTACTGACGTGAAACCTCACACAATGCCTAGGCCTGTCATCCACTGACCATCCACTAACGTGAAACTTCACACAATGCATAGGCCTATCAACCACTGACCATCTACTAACGTGAAACATCACACAATGCCCAGGCCCATCAGCCACTGACCATCTACTGACGTGAAACTTCACACAATGCCTAGGCCTAACATCCACTGACCATCTACTAACGTGAAACTTCACACAATGCATAGGCCTATCAGCCACTGACCATCTACTAACGTGAAACTTCACACAATGCATAGGCCTATCAGCCACTGACCATCTACTAACGTGAAACTTCACACAATGCATAGGCCTATCATCCACTGACCATCTACTAACGTGAAACTTCACACAATGCATAGGCCAATCAGCCAGTGACCATCTACTAACGGGAAACTTCACACAAGGCATAGGCCTATCAGCCACTGACCATCTGCTGACGTGAAACTTCACACAATGCCTAGGCCTAACATCCACTGACCATCTGCTGACGTGAATTTTCACACAATACATTTGATGATGATTGAGTACTTTTATAGAGCATGTCTCCATGATATTTTAGCATGCTGACAGCGCTCTGATGTCCTGAAATCTATTAAAAGAAAAAGTCTTTAAATGGTTCTTAATGACGTTTTTATCATTTTCAATGTCCCTAAAAGATGGAGGCAAGCTGTTTCACAATTTAGGCGCAATAGCTTCCAAAGAGCGCACCCCGTATGAATTCTGTCTGTGTCCATCCACACTGGGAACTCTCAGTAAGGCCATTTTGAAACATTAAACTCAAACTCACTCTAAGTGATTAGTTCACTTTTGACTTGGCAAAATACAGTTCTTGATGATGGCAATACAGTACCAAGTGGGAGCTTTCACTGATGCGGGAATAAATAAGTGTCACAGATACCCCATAAACAACAACTCCGCTATTCACAAAGCCCGCCAAAACAATAAAAAACACCCCCCCCCCAAAATCACAACTCTCCAAACCACAAACACTCCAAACCACAAACTCTCCAAACCACAAACTCTCCAAACCACAAACTCTCCAAACCACAAACTCTCCAAACCACAAACTCTTCAAACCAGAAACTATCCAAACCAAACCTCTCCAAACCGCAAACTCTCCAAACCACAAACTCTCCAAACCACAAACTCTCCAAACCACAACGCCAACCAAAAGAACAACAGCAACACAACCCCTTCTTTCAACGTGTTGGACCAATCACAGTTACTCACATGGCTTCCTTCCCTTCTCGCATAGCGCACCTTCTCTAGAAACTTCTTTTATTATTTTTTAATCCCTTTATTTCAGCGCTATTACGAAACCGCCTGTGAAAGTGACCTTCATGTGACCTTGTTAATAGGATTTTTAATCGAGCTATGCGCCTGCCTATCGGACACGTGGCTGGGAATGCAGACTGTCTCATCAGTCCCCCTTCTGGACGAGCTCATCAAATACATAAATGGTGCTACCATGATTGCCCTTGGTGAGTTACTCCTTTGTGGTCATAACCACTGGTATGTTATGCTTGTGTGGGTCATAATATCTGGTAATTTATGTTTTTGTGAGTCATAATCTCTGGTAAGTTATGTTTTTGTGGGTCATAATCTCTGGTAAGTTATGTTTTTGTGGGTCATAATCTCTGATAAGTTATGTTTTTGTGGGTCATAATCTCTGGTAAGTTATGATTTTGTGGGTCATAATCTCTGGTAAGTTATGTTTTTGTGGGTCATAATCTCTGGTAAGTTATGTTTTTGTGGGTCATAATCCCTGGTAAGTTATGTTTTTGTGGGTCATAATCTCTGGTAGGTTATGTTTTTGTGGGTCATGATCTCTGGTACGATATGCTTTTGTGGGTCATAACTCTAGTAAATAGGGTTTTATGGGTAAAAACTCTAGGTAAGATAGGGTTTTACATGTGATAACTCTAGGTAAAGATGGTGTTTAATGGGAAGTAACTCTATGCTAGAAGAAGTTTATGGGTTAATACTCTAGGTCAGATGAGGTTTACGGTTGATAACTCTGTCGATATCGCTCAGTCATATGACTAGCCATTATGTAGCAATTTTGTTTTCAAAACTGTTCGTTTCTCTTTGTTGTTCACTTTTGAAATATTAAAAGTCACTTTCTAAGAAAAGTATAATGCACTTTGAAACTACTTGGGGTCAGGAGGTTAAATCAAAGTGAATCTTTCTTGTGGATGTGAGAGTTAATCAAAGTGATTCTTTTTGGGGATGTGAGAGTTAATCAAAGTGATTCTTTTTGGGGATGTGAGAGTTAATCAAAGTGAATCTTTTTGGGGATGTGAGAGTTAATAAAAGTGAATCTTTTTGTGGATGTGAGAGTGAATCAAAGTGAACCTTTTTGGGGATGTAAGAGTTAATCAAAGTGAACCTTTTTGGGGATGTGAGAGTTAATCAAAGTGAACATTTTTTGGGGATGTGAGAGTTAATCAAAGTGAATCTTTTTGGGGATGTGAGAGTTAATCAAAGTGAATCTTTTTGGGGATGTGAGAGTTAATCAAAGTGAACCTTTTTGGGGATGTGAGAGTTAATCAAAGTGAACCTTTTTGGGGATGTGAAAGTTAATCAAAGTGAACCTTTTTTTGGGATGTGAGAGTTAATCAAAGTGAACCTTTCTTGGGGATATGAGAGTTAATCAAAGTGAACCTTTCTTGGGGATGTGAGAGTTAATCAAAGTGAATCTTTTTTGGGGATATGAGAGTTAATCAAAGTGAACCTTTCTTGGGGATGTGAGAGTTAATCAAAGTGAATCTTTTTGGGGAATAGAGAGTTAATCAAAGTGAACCTTTCTTGGGGATGTGAGAGTTAATCAAAGTGAATCCTTTTGGGGATGTTAGAGTTAATCAAAGTGAATCCTTTTGGGGATGTGAGAGTTAATCAAAGTGAAACTTTTTGGGGATGTGAGAGTTAATCAAAGTGAACCTTTCTTGGGGATGTGAGAGTTAATCAAAGTTAACCTTTTTGGGGATGTGAGAGTTAATCAAAGTGAATCTTTTTGTGGATGTGAGAGTTAATCAAAGTGAATCTTTTTTGTGGATGTGAGAGTTAATCAAAGTTAAACTTTGTTAAGGATGTGAGAGCTAATGAAAGTGAACCTTTGTTGGAGATGTGAGAGTTAATCAGTGTCAGAACATTAGAGAGCAAAATCGTAAGGGTTGCAGAGTGTAGAAATGGGAGCGAAACGACCAATTTAAAGAAATAAGACTAGAAGGTGCCCACTTACTTGGTAGTTTTGATGGATACAATTTTAAGACTGTCATGTGTGTAGTCTGATGATAGGCTAAGTGGGGAAAATTAACAATAAGTCTTAGTATAAGAGATCCAATAAAAACACAAATGTCTTAATACAAGAGATACAATAAAAAATGTGTGAAAGTATTATTTAAAGAGATACACCTAAAACAACAAGTCTTATGATAAGAGTTACCCTAATCCGGATTTTTAAAACAGATTTTCTGTTATAAATGCTCCCTTGCTTAAAAAACAGTGTAATGAAATAAGACGTCTAAATCCACTAAAACTATAAATATAATGAACAGCTTGGAAGAAAATAATTGTACAAAAAAAGTAAGGAGCTTCTTGAATTTTTATTTTTGTTTAAATCATCTAATTTTTTGTAGGCGTGAGCACCACTGGTATGTACTTCAATCCAGCCATGGCCAGTGGACACACCCTGGGCTGTCACGGGACAGCGCTGAGCGAGCATTTTGTGGTCTACTGGGCCGGACCATTCGTTGGGTGCTTCGTGGCCCTGCAGATGAATAAACTTATACATATTGACGTCACGGCAAGCAAGGGCGGAGACCCGCAAACGATAGACAAGAAGCACAAATAGCGCAGTCTTGCACTCTCAGCAATAGACCATTCGCGTCTTTTTGGCAACACCCATAAATTAGTACTTCAAGCCTCTTACTTTGTGTACTGTTTCTGTAATTAGCAGCAGTTGAATCAGAGATGGGGCTAAAGGGCGTGGGTCCCCTACCCGTTTCCACCTCCCCAACCCCATTTTAACCCCCGAGGAAACAATTTTAAGGCTTCTTCAAAGGGCGTGCCTCGATGAGAGTGTTCCCCACCCACGGGCTGCCCGCCTGACTCCATGAGAGAGTCCCCTACCCACGGGCTGCCCGAGCAGTTGTTTCCTCGTTTAGACAGTTACAAATAATGTCTCTCGTCTCTATCCGTTATAGTATAATCCATTCCCACACTATTGATGAATGAACAATTTTTACTCTACAACATTTCGTTTTAATTTGTGCAGTTTAGAACTCGGAACGGAATCAATAAAATATTTTAACATTTTAACCTTGATTGTATTCAAAGGGTTTGTATTATAAGGTAAAATATTAAAATGGAACGTATGGAATGGAATGTAATAAAATGAAATGTGCTAAACTGGTATGTAATAACAAAAAATTCTATGAAATAAAATATAATTTATTAAAATCGATTGAGTTCAATTGAAATTCTTAAAGTAGATATGTTTTAAACTGGGATGTAATCAAAAGAAATTTGTAAAACTTGTAAAACTGTAAGGATTAAAATATTTGAATAAACGACCATCCATTGATCAGCCCTTAATCACTAATTTATCATCCTTTCATCCCCCAATTATAACCCAGTTATCCCCAATCAATTACTCATTCTTTACCCAGCGATTACCCATTAATTACCCATTGATCCCCCCTTGATTACCCATTTTTCACTCATTGATTTCCCCTTCCCATACTGCATACAGTTCGTCACACCCAAAACTTTTAACACCCAAAACTCGTAACACCCGAGATTCTTTGCACCCGAAACTTTTAACACATGAGACTCTTAACACACAAAACTCTTAACACCCAAGACTCTTAACACCCAAGAATCTCAACACGCCATCTTTTCTTCATCAACAATTTCAACACCTGATTCTTTTAACACACGAGACTTTTAACACCCCAGTTTCTTATCACCAGAATCTCTGAACACGTCATCATTTTTTCATTAAAAAATGTCAACATTTAATGACCTAACTTTAAATTTAGCATACCTATAAATAGGAAGTTAGATTACAGGCGAGCTTTTATCCCTAGAAAAGCAGCCTTCTAGTGTAACTTGATTTTCTACGCTACTATGACTTCTTTCCATTTATTAAAATTATATTTATATGTTCATTTATTTTTATTAGTTAAGAGGAAGACCTCTAGCTGACTCCATACTAGAAATTTGTTTTGGGGAAGGCCTCTAGCTGACACCATCCTAGAGATTTGTTTCGAGGAAGGCCTCTAGCCGACTCAACCCAAAAACAAAACAAAAAACTATTCTGAAAAGCCTTTAGTCAAATCTATGGTGTAAATTTTTTTCTGGCTTTTATCGCAGTTGTGTTGTTATCATGTAGCTTATCACTTTTTCGTGGTTTCTTGTCTTTTTTTTTCCGGTTGGATACCTCGCAACAGTGTAATCAGTTGGCTACCCCGCAACAGTGTAATCAGTTGGCTACCTCGCAACAGTGTAATCAGTTGGCTACCCCGCAACAGTGTAATCAGTTGGCTACCTCGCAACAGTGTAATCAGTTGGCTACCCCGCAAGAGTGTAATCAGTTGGCTACCTCGCAACAGTGTAATCAGTTGGTGTTACGCACTGACTTGTATTGGGAGAAATTAATCTCCTATTTTAATTTTAATTGGCTCGTTGTAAGCAGTGCCTAACAAAGGACGATACCATAGAATCAACAATATTAAAGATACGACCCAAAACAGTTTCTAGTTACAATTAATTAAGATTTATTATGTCTTAAGATAATTACAAAATAAAATAAAATTACAATCTTCAACTTACAGTATGGCAGATCTCGTACCGGTACACAGTTAATACAATTAGAAATAATGATGCCAATAAATAATGCGAAATAAACACGTATAAGTAGGAGCACACAAATACACAAAGAATAAAACACGCCTCGTAATGTTAAGAAAATTTATCTGAAATCTCTCTCCCTCTCGTCGTGCCTGTCAATCCCTTATATAGGTGGGTCTACCGACGCCAAAGCCCTGCCTTCTACAAGCTACATGACATTTCGAGAAAAATCCCAATCATTCTACCAAATACTATTTGGAACAGATTAATTATGTTTATTCGTTGGCGGCGTAAACAAGAATACATCAAAGACCTAAGCCACACCCCTTTGTGAACACAGCGTCTCATGCGGGGTCAATCAGAGGGCACGCACGAGAAATATGATGTAAACAAGCTCTCTATAACAGTGTTGGCGGCGTAAACAAGAATACATCAAAGACCTAAGCCACACCCCTTTGTGAACACAGCGTCTCATGCGGGGTCAATCAGAGGGCACGCACGAGAAATATGATGTAAACAAGCTCTCTATAACAGTTGGCTACCCCGCAACAGTGTAATCAGTTGGCTACCTCGCAACAGTGTAATCAGTTGGCTACCTCGCAACAGTGTAATCAGTTGGCTACCTCGTAACAGTGTAATCAGTTGGCTACCTCGCAACAGTGTAATCAGTTGGCTACCCCGCACAGTGTAATCAGTGGCTACCTCGCAACCGTGTAATCAGTTGGCTACCTCACAACAGTGTAATCAGTTGGCTACCTCGCAACAGTGTAATCAGTTGGCTACCCGCAACCGTGTAATCAGTTGGCTACCTCGCAACAGTGTAATCAGTTGGCTACCTCGCAACAGTGTAATCAGTTGGCTACCTCGCAACAGTGTAATCAGTTGGCTACCTCGCAACAGTGTAATCAGTGGCTACCTCGCAACAGTGTAATCAGTTGGCTACCTCGCAACAGTGTAATCAGTTGGCTACCTCGCAACAGTGTAATCAGTTGGCTACCCGCAAACGTGTAATCCAGTGGCTACCTCGCAACAGCGGAATCAGTTGGCTTGTGTAATCAGTTGGCTACCTCGCAACAGTGTAATCAGTTGGCTACCTGCAACCGTGTAATCAGTTGGCTATCTCGCAACAGTGGAATCAGTTGGCTACCTCGCAACAGTGTAATCAGTTGGCTACCCCGCAACAGTGTAATCAGTTGGCTACCCCGCAACAGTGTAATCAGTTGGCTACCCCGCAACAGTGTAATCAGTTGGCTACCTCGCAACAGTGTAATCAGTTGGCTACCTCGCAACAGTGTAATCAGTTGGCTACCTCGCAACCGTGTAATCAGTTGGCTACCCCACAACAGTGTATACATTTAAGAACAGCCCGTGATATTGGACATCAAATGACTTGTCCATAAAAGATGGTTAGACCTTCCATGTGTCCGTTAAAGCGAATGTCTGCCAGAGAGAGAGAGAGAGGGGGGGGAGGGAATGGAAGAGAGGGGGGAGAGAGGAGCGGGGGAGGAGAGAGAGAGGGAGTGAGAGAGCTGATGGCAAATATTTAACAAAACGAGAATGCTATTCTTTTCAGCGAAAAAACTGAACGGTTGTACAAGTATGATTTCATTTCCATCAGCTGATGGCTTATCCGTGCGAAAATGATAGCGACTATCAGATATGCAGACTCTCCAATGCCATATGAAATGTACAGTACTTTTAAGAAATTAATCGTGTAACAAATTTTCAGCGACGGCTCTAGGTATATGGGCGATAAAGGCGGCAATAACATAGCCAGGCTTTCACTAGGGTTTCTCTCCCATGTAAAATAATGAAGCTTGAGGAATAAAAATTATCTCTGCAGAACTCATAAAACTAGGTGGAAGTGAACTGCATCGGTAAATACGAGACCTCATATCCAGAATTTGACAGGATGAAAAAATGCCAAAAGAACGGAATACAGTTCTTTAAAAGAAACGATCTTACCTGGATTGCTCAAATTATAGAGGAATCTCCGTAATTAAAGTAACTTACAAAACCCTCACCAAACTAAGAGCATGATAACTGGAAAGGTGTAGTGATTAGATCTTAGGTGACCGTCAATGTGGATTCCGTCAAGATATTTCAACCACAGATCTTATCTTAAATATCAGATTCTCCTGCAGACACTCTATGAGTACCCCATCAACATGCACCAACTATATATGGAGCACAAAGCAGCTTATATGACGTGGACAGGATTTATTTGTGTGTCTACAAGAAATATCTGTATGTAGACAGGAAATATGTGTATGTAGACAGGAAATACCTTTATGTAGACAGGAAATATGTGTATGTAGACAGGAAATATGTGTATGTAGACAGGAAATATCTGTAAGTAGACAGGAAATGTCTCTATGGAGACGGGAAATATGTGTACGTAGACAGGAAATATCTGTATGTTGCTCTAAAGCAGAGGTGGTCAACCTTATTTCTGCCAAGTGCCATTTGGTTTTGTATAGCGTCATGAAATCTGAAGAAAAAAATTGTTTTATTCGTGCCACAATACTGTGGCTCATCCACATTTGTATGGACAGTTTCCATTCCTCACACTCACATCCTTTCTTCACATTTAAAGAAGGTGGAGGATGAATTCTAGGTTTATCATAATTTCTCTCACTGTTATGGCCAGGGCTGCCACTCACATTTTTAAAATTTCCCAAGATTTGGTGAACAAATTTCCCAAGATTTCCCAAGATCATAAAAATATATAAGAGTTTTTTAAAAAAAAGGGTTTTTCTATGTAATCTATTAAATAGATTGAATTAATGACCATGAAAAACATGGTGCATTAATTGTTTGAAATTTATTGAAAAAGACAATATAAAAAATGTTTATCACATAAAAGAAACATACAATTTGTTTTAAAAAAATAATTTATAATCCAAAATATCAATACCCACTGAAGTTAGGCTACTAAATATTACCTCCGAATTCTCTGGTAAAAATATCATCTACAATACATGTGTAATAGAAGTCACTTGGAAACAAAGCTTACAAGGCTAATCAACACAGAATTCCCTTTACAAGGGCAAAAGGTTCTTCATCAAAAAATGATTTTTCTTATTGTAAGTCTGTTGATTAGAATTTGGGTTTGCAAAGCAATTAAGCAAAATTTATTAATAATAATTGTAGTTAAAATGGATTGATATTATTATGAAAACAATAAGTATTTTTATTTTGCTCTTGTAAATTTACATTATAACGATTTTTTAAACAAAATAACATACTTTTAAATGTATTGTTCATTTACAATCCTACTACGTAGGCCTATACTTTTAATGTCTTAGTTACCTGTGTTTCAATCCACAAATATGTTTTCCAATTGATGAAAATTAGGCTGGATTTTTTACAGATGCATTATATTTTGAATACATTGTATGAGTAATTGAAATAATCAAATTTTACTATGGCATGGATTCTTGATTGAATACTAATATCGTTCACTCTTCGGCTTGTACTGTTTTTCATATGGTTGCTAATGTCTAATAAATAGCCTAATGATAAAGTTTCCGAGCCTTCCTCCCCCCCCCCCCC